TTTCGCAAGTTTTTTCAACTCCTCTGTAAAGCTTGTCACAACCATAAGACCACTACTTTCCATTGAGTCATAACTCTTGCAACCACGGGTGATTATCCCTAATACTTTTTTATTTTGAAATGCAGTGTTTATTCATTGTTCATTCATTTACAGCATTGTTACAATGCTGTAACATAGTGTTTTGATATTGCCCTGTCTAGAAAATGTTTCCATCTGCACAAGAAAAATGTTTCTAAGTTGATACATGTAATTCAAGATGTTTCTTCCTTTGTCACTAAGTTTAAAGGGTAAAAGGGTAAAAGTCTTAAGTCAAATTTATTTGCTTTGCAACCACGGGAGCAGGATCAAAATTCATATGATAGCACACATACTTTCAGACACATGGACATCTGTGCTGGTAAGTCCACCTATGTTCATTTGGATTTGATTATTCTGTTATGGTGAGTGTGGAGGGACGTCATCATGACTCACGCTTGGGCTTTGCAACATGACACCTATGGTGTCAATGAACAAGTTATACACAGATGGATCCACAAAGTTCTCTGGGGCAACGACTAGGTCCTCGTCTTCCAGATTTTCATTTTGGGAGAGAGTTCTCTCTGGATTGAGAACGAACTGCAGAAACGGAGTCGCAGAGTCAGATACAACTGAGTGACACTTTGAGAAGGCAGGAGGAGAAACAACAGTTCTCACTCCTTGCCCCACTCTCCGGGTTTTCTATCTATGTATGTGGCTTTCCTAGTGACTCAGTAAAGAATCTGCCTGCAAAGTGGGAGACCTGGGTTTGATCCCCAGGTTGGGAAGATCCCCTGGAGGAGGACATAGCAACCCACTCCAGTATTCTTGCCTGGGAAATCCCAAGGATTGAAGAGCCTGCCAGTCCATGGGGTCAAAAACAGTCAGACCCAGCTGAGCGACTAAACAACAAAGTTATTCCACTTAGTCCTCATAACAACCTTTCCTTGTTTTGGAGATTACGATGCAGAGAAGTTAAATAACTTGCCTAAGGACACAGAACGAAGAGTTGGGTTTGTGAGTAGTTGAGAGTGCCCTGTAGTTTAGCATATTAACAAGGTGAGAAAGTGCCTTTACAAATTCAAAATGTCAAGAAATACCTCCTGGACATGGGAGAACTATCCAGATAATAGCTAGGCTATCCTTCCAAAGCATACATTACCTCATTTCTAGGCACAGAATATCAAATGCAATCTTTTTTTAAAAAAATAATTTGTTTATTTTTGGTTGTGCTGGGTTTTCGTTGCTGCTAAGAGGGCTTTCTCTAGTTGTGGTAAGTAGGGACTGTAGGGTAAGGGAGTCAGAGAAGGCAAGGTTCAGAAAAAGAACAAGACCGGCACTTTACAGGAACAGATCACCTTTAATGAGGCGAGAAGAGGCAGTAGTCAGATTAGTGAGCTGCTGCACTAACCCAAAAAAAGAGTAAGTATATATAGGCACATATGTGGAAATCTACTGTCTTAAGGGGGCCTGTTCTTCTCCAAGGTTGTTCAGATTAGTTCTCTCGTAAACGGCTGGGGCAAGGAATTTGAAGATCCGCCAGAGGCGGGCTGGGAGCTGGGCGTAATCAACCTTAACGTCCATTTGTTTCTTCCTTGAGAGACTTCTTTGTTTTGCATAGAATGGTGGGGAGGACCAGGAGGGGATTTTGAGCCATGTAATTTTCCTTCAGGGACTACCCCCCATTGTGGTGCCCTGGGTTCTCATTGTTTCTCTTGCTGAGGAGCACAGGTGCATCTGCTCAGTTGCTTGGAGGCATGTGAAATCTTCCCAGACCAGGGATCAAACCTGTGTCCCCTGCACTGGCAGGCAAATTCCTAGCCCCTGTACCAGGAGGGAAGTCCCAAGCACAGCCTTGAGGCATAAGTCCAATAACTACAGGTTCGTGTTCATTGAGGAAAGATGCAAATCTCCATTCTGAGATTCTGAACTCTTCAATTATTTTGTTCTCAGCACACAGTTTCAGTCTGAAGACTGAAAATATTTTCAGACATCATTCTGTGTTGGATCTGGATTGGAAGAATGAACCAAGGCTTTGAATCTTATTTCCTCCATTTTGATACAGGCCTCAGAGTTTCATGGTCAAGAGGGTAGGACTATAGTGATGACTGCCAAGGGAAGTGGACCTTATTGATCTTCCAGAAGTCACATCTTTAAAAACTACTGGTGCTGAGGAGAGGAAACTGCATCCTCATCTGGCAGAGCTCCCAGAGGGTGTGATCCTCTTGCCTTTCTGCTTTTGTTTGCAGAAAGCCGCCTTTTTAAGGTACCCATTAGGCTTTCACTCTTTGATCTATTTTGTTCTACCTTTTTTATCTTCCCTGTTGATATCCCAGCTGGTCATGTCTTTACCATAGCAGCTACCAAATAAGGAATCATGTTTCCCAAACTTACTGGCTAGTGATGGCTGCTGTGCTACCATGAAATCAGTTTCATCCTTTTATTCAGGTTCAACGATTTCCAAAAGGTTTTAAAACAAATTTTCTTCGTTATGACTGGTTAGCTAATCTGGGGGGTGAAAGTCGATCTCTCTCTGGAACGAACATTATCCGCAAACATCTGATGAACCTGTGGTGCTACATCTGTGTATTCTTCCAGCTTCATTGAACCATTTGGAGCCATTTTTCCAGCGGCAACGGCGCGGTGGCGGCGGCGGCGGCGGCGGCGGCGGCCAGAGCGTGTCTCAGGCTCCCTCACCAAGCGCTGGCGCAACTGCTGCGAAATATGTATTTGTTTCAAGCCGCTGAGTTGGTGGTAATTTGTGAGACAGTAACAGAAAACGAATGCACCATTAGCGGTGTTATTAGGGTGCAAAGTTTGGGATTGCGGTGGAAGAAGCATCTGGTTTGTTTTAGATGATTCTGAATTTTGAATTGCTACCCATAAAAGGGAAAAAATAAAACAAAAAAACTAAACAGAAATCGGTGTGAAAGAGCACACAAAATCACCCCCTTCAATGCCTAGGTCAGGCCTTCTTGGTCACCTTTCTCCAGTCTGAAGTGATTGTTCCCTCCTCAGATATTTACAGACACTGATGTATTTTATCACCTTAATAATACTCTTCTTTTTTATGCTCTAGTGGCTTTCTGTGTCTAACTAACTGGGCTTCAATTTCCTTGAGGGCAAAGATCTTCTCTTGTTGATTTTTGCATCTCCCACAGTGCCTTGCACAGACTCTAGTAAATGTTACTTGATTGGCCAAAGAAGATGGTTTTATCTGATAAGTCCTTCAAACTAAACCCTCCAGGTGCTACTCCTGGAAAGCACCTGGAAGGGGTTCTTGAGATTCCAACGGGGGGGGGGGGGTGTTTCCTTATTGATTCACAGCCTTCCACAGCATCCCTTGACTCCTCTCTCAGGAGAAGGAAACTTAGACACAAGTATGGATGGGCCAAATAGCTGGCCCAGCTGGCAACATAACCTGGCATTGAAGAATTTTACTTAATTAGCTAAGCACCCTCTTATCAGGAAGGCCTAAACATCTGCCAGTGGAATTTGAGAAATCTGTTATAAAAGTTGAAAAGCTGATTTTATTCACCACAGATCAAACTTTTGTAGTGAGGGGTGGGGCACCAGGGGGGAGTGGGGGGGGGAAGGTTTTACCAGTTAAATCAAATTAAGAGAAGAAGCTGGTGCCCAATTTCCTGGAGAGTTTGTGTAGTGAACTTTTTCTTTTTCACTGCACCTGACTTAATTATGGATGTAATAGAAGAAATTATCAATATTACAAATTTCTTCTGCACTCATATACATAATTAACTATGTGAACTGTCGCAAAGAAATTAAAGCAAAATTTGAGGACTTAAGTTTTTTAAAAAAATAAGTGTGGTCAGATGACTAGGTAGTAGAAACATTTTGAATAAACTCACGAACTTGTTTTCTTAGATCAAGGACTATTTTTTGGGAAATAAAAAGCCTTTGGGGAAAAAAAAGCCTTTGAGAGACCCAGCTTCTTGCCTCCATTGGTTTGTAATTTCTTGCTAATATGGCAAGCTACTTTAATCCTTTCTGGAACATGAGATGCAATATAAATTAATACCAATGTGACAAAACGTCTGAACAGTGGACTTGAAACTGCCGGAGGATCATAAAGAACTGATTTGTTCAAGGAAGCGGAGCAGTTTAGTCTTTATTTAGATGTGTGGTTTAGGTAGATGGCAAATGAATCCATTTATCATTGTTGAGCTGCCTAGAGTTAAATGGTATCACCGATTGTAACAATTTGCAAAGCAACATGGTGGAAATGAAGTCAACTCGGAAGGGTCATGGATTTTGAAGAATATGAATCTTTAACATTTTTATGGCTGCTGCCTTTGGAGTGCAAACTGTCAGCATGTCCCTGAGTTGTGAAGCATTTGCCGTAATACTGTGGGCAAAATTATCGTGAACACCAAGAGGATTTGGAACTTTCGGGCTATATGGCCAAAATCTGAGATGCTTGGCCCTGAGAAACTCTATCCTTTTCATCAAAGCGCTTAAACCAGTGGCTGGAATCAGAACTAAGACGTGTTCAAATTGGAACTCTCCGCTGTTTTGAATTCTAGCCTTTGAAATATAACCATTTAAATTTACTTGCTCAGAATTGATTCATCATCCTTGCAACTATACGAATGAAGTTGATGAAACTTTTGTATATGCCTTTGGCATTCCTATTAAAATCTATGCTCTTTGCTAGGTAATAGACTATACCACTGGCCAAAATGTACCATTTAAGTGTATAGTTTCTTTTAAACCATCCGCTTCGCTAGTAAAAAAACTTGGTGGCTCCTGTCCCAGACAGTGCCCTAACAGCCAGTGGGGTTGACAGGGCTGCTCGCATGCGCTCTCGACAAAATCGTGTTTGTCGCAATGGGCCCTGCGCGGAAGGTTACATAGGAGCGATAGACTTTGATTATAGTCATTTTGTTGGTAGCTCTGGTTACCGCGCTACTTCCGCGCTGGTACTTGATTGTAACAGAAAGTAGTTCCGGCCCATGTTGTTTCGGCCGAGGAGCCGTCGCCGCCATTTCAAGATCGTGAGAGGTAGATGGCCAACCAGAGTTCTAGGGTTCGAAAGCTGTAACTGTTGCTGCTGCTTAAGCCTGCCAAAGCACTGGTACGGCTGCTGCCCCTGTGCTACTACCTCTAGAAACATTCTTGCCAGTAGTGGCGGCTTCAGGATTCAATTACCACCTTCTCATACTCGCTCTAGAAGCTCCAGATGGCGTCTTCCGTGGGCAACGTGGCCGACAGCACAGGTACCGGTGTCCGTTCTACCTTGGCAGACGCCCCCTTGGGCTCTCGCGCCGTCCTCTACCTCTCATCACTCCCTCCCCTCTGGCCATCCCCATTGCATCAGTGGCATCGCTAAGCTTTTCGGCGTCTAGCGGCATCTGATCTGGGTTTTCTGCTGTCGTCCGTTCCTAAAACATTTTCTCTCGCTTGCTTGCTTTTTGCTTCCTTTCTTTCTTTGCAATCCTATACATTTTCTAGCCTTCTGCTCTCTCGGGACCCTTCTACACCTGCGCGCTTAGACTGTCTCAGAATGGACTGCATTGGAATCCCTGCCCTTCTTGCTGCCTTTCATTCTCCTTCGCAGTCGTTTCTTACTCAGTTCAGCTCAGCTCACCGCCCTCTTCTCGTCCCCCTCCACCCCGCTCCCCTTAGCCCGATTTGGTGGTCCTCTGTCAATCGAGGGTGGAGGTGCCGTTCCAATGTAATCGTATCCTCACTTTGCATCACCCCAATGACGAGCGCAAGCTCCTGGGTGCGCTCCGAGTAACCTCTACAACAGGGGATTTTGAGCAGCACCGCGCCTGGCAGCGCCTGTCTGCTGTGCCTTGGGTTGAGCGGCCCCGGTTTCGATTGGAAATTTCCAGGGGTTCCTTTTGCCATCGCCCAATTCCACTCGCTGCCCCCAGCCTGGATTTCCCACCCTGTCCTCCTCCCTCCTCTCCCGCGGGGAGCCACACCCTTTCCTTCGCGAGGTTGCCAGCCCTGCGGTCCGCTTCCTACCCTCGGGGAGAAACCACTCTAGTGCTGGGGCTTTGGCGTTGACCACCCTGTCCGCTCGATTCTCTCTTTGTGTTACTTTCTCCTTGTATTCCTCCGCCGCCGTCTCTGGGTCTTCCATCCCCATTCTTTAGCCCGGTATTTCTTTATTCATAGGGGGTATATTTTTTTAAGTTTTCATCCCTGCTTGAAGAGTTTGTAAAGCAACTGGAGTGTAGCTGCACAAGTGCAAGGCGGTTGCCCCTTTAGACAATTAGTCTGAGAGCATTTAGTACTAAAAATAAGAAAACTCCAAATTATAGGAGTGTCCTTCAGCTGCCTTTCCGTATTGAGGCTATTTGGGGCGGGAGGGAGGGGGGGATTGGGCTGCGGTTCTAAGGTTTCCCACGAGGTTATTTTTTTGTTGGTTTCTCAGTTGAGATATGTCAAGGGTTTTATTGTTCTTGGGATATTGTGCACTAAGAGATGACTCTTCAATTGTATCTTATATTTGACTGTAGGTAGTGGGATTGATAGTGTTCCCCTCCCGCTCAGGGATCTTTTTAAAGATTGAAGAGTCTGTCCTAGATTCTCTTGTTCTAGCTTGCCCTTTTCTTTATTTTTTGGCCGCACCATGCGGCTTGCGGGATCTTAGTTCCCCGGGCCAGGCATGGAACCTGTGCCCCCTGCATTGGGAGCGCAGAGTCTTAACCGCCGGACTACCAATGAAGTCCCTGCTTGCCCTTTTCTACCTGTTATTTTATTTGAGAAAGTTGTCATTTCTAGTGTTAAAATAGCAGATAGGCGGCTTTTGAAAAGTTGATAAAGTATGGGTTAAAAATAAAGAGCAAGGGAGTTCTAGAGACTTGCTTAAAATGTGATTTTCTAGTTTCTGTAAGAGGTATAACCGTCCACAAATGTGGATGCAGTTCTCTCTGTTCTTAACGTTAGTTGTCAGCTAGCTGTGCCTTGTTAGGAAATTTACTTTACTTTCCCGAGTATACAGTTGATTTACCAGGTCTAATGATTGAGGGTATAGGCTCGATATGAACTTCTCACTTGGACCTTGGTAGAATTTAAGTATTTAATTCGTAGAAAGTTTCTTACTCTGTGTTGTGAAAGTACTGTGGTCAGAGATTCCCAAGTAATGTATTATTGTTCAAGTATTTACACTTGAGACTTAGGCAGCTTGTCATTGTTTTCCCGTCTCTGGGCTTTAGCTGTATATCCTTGATCTTTTTATCTGAACAAAGTCACACACAGCAAAGTGCTTTCATTTATTATTAATTCTGTTGCACTTTATCAAATGGTTTTATATTGTAGCATTTTCCCATTCTTTTAAAAAATCATTGCAGTTTAGGTAACTGCTTAGTTTATACAGGGTTGTTTGCAGTGTTTTAGTCCTGTTAGTCTGTATCAGAGCTCTTTGGAAAATGCTAGTGTTAAACCAGTGTGAGTGGGATTTAGCTAATTTGGTCTCAGTGTGAGTTTGGAATGGTACAGGAGCAATACAATATAATCTTGGGTCTTGATTTAAAATGTTTGACCCCTTTAAATATTTTGGCTCTTGACAGATGAATTCATCTTGTTTATCAGCTGTTTTAAAAATAGCACCTTGACTTTTAGTTTTTTCCCCTTATGCCTGTTTCTAGTGTCACCCTTAAGATATTTAAAAATTAAGTTGTGAAGTAATACAAAAGCATGAATATAATTTGAAGAGTTAACTACACATCTGGTGTCCCCACCCAGGTTAAGAGGTAGCTTGTTACCAGTACCCCCCCCCCCAATCCAACCTAAAACATGGGACAAAGTATTAAGTTTCCCAGTAGGTTATTCTGACATTATTACATCTATGTGACCTCGCAAATCACACGTTTTATATTTCGTTTCTCTATGTTAACTGAAGTATAAGGAATAATGTTTAGTGAATTTTTAGATGCTACATCTGATTTGTAATTTAAAATACCAAGTATTTTTGGTCATAAATTTTTTTTTATTTGTAAGTAAATATTGCATTTGCAAGTAAATATTTCTGTCTAGGTGGGGAATTCTAAAAATGCCAATTCTGCACCTAATGTTAACTTGGGGTTATCGATAACGTGCAGAACATTCTAGTGCTTTACATAGTTTCAAGCGGTTTCATCTTTAAGTTTAATATACCATATTTTTACATTTTTTTGTTTGCATTTCTAACTTTTTGTTTTCCCCCCTCCTTCCCTCAAATGTTTTGATGATTCTCCAGAACCAACGAAACGTATGCTTTCCTTCCAAGGGTTAGCTGAGTTGGCACATCGCGAATATCAGGCAGGAGATTTTGAGGCAGCTGAGAGACACTGCATGCAGCTCTGGAGACAAGAGCCAGACAATACTGGTGTGCTTTTATTACTTTCATCTATACACTTCCAGTGTCGAAGGCTGGACAGGTAGGAGATGTGGGGGTGATGCTGGTGATTGCTGCCTCTGAGTGCTGAGCTTGAAAAATGTGACTTAAATATCTGAACTTGAAGTTTTTCCAGTTCTGGGTTTCACCTGGAGCCACCAACGCACATCTGCTCTCTTGCCCACTTGTGATAGGCCCAGCTGCCAGTTTTCCTCCCTTCTTTTGTGGTGGTGGTTATATTATTGGTATAACTAGGGACCTTTTCTAGATTTTTCCACCTACATCGGCGGCTTTTTTAGAACTGGTTTTCAGGTAATAAATTATTCTTGGTCTACATCTGAGCATCCAGTCTCACCTTTGTAAGATGTGTCACCTTGAGGGACCGAAGTGTTCAGAGACAATAGTGATATGTTGTGGTAGGAGGTGCATATGTAGTTCAAGTTGCAAATGCCATCATTAAATCATTATGCTGTACTACTTTTAGCTAATCAGTTGAATTAATAAAAAAGGGAAGAATCTGTGTTCTTGGCCTTTTAATAAATTGTCACTTTGGCTTGTTTAGACATTTAAAGATGTGAATCATTGAATCTTATCAGCAAATGGAAAATGAGACTCATGCACATAGCATTTTCATTCTTGATGTTATTGATCATTGTTTACAGTGAGGCAGTTTGGTAATGAGACTAGTTAAGAATTTTATCTCTTAAGAAAAAAGTGTTCTGATTTGAACTCCGAATGCCTCCACGTCTGAAAAGCCTTGATTTCCACAATTTTTCCTTCTTTGAGCTAGTTAAAAGATAATATTTTATTATGTAATGAGCAGTACACAGGATCTTCAAAAACTGTTGCATAAGGGCCATACCTTCTTTCTGTAACATGCATACCCATGCATCAACACTTTTCCCCTTTTCCAGATCTGCCCATTTTAGTACTCTGGCAATTAAACAGAACCCCCTTCTGGCAGAAGCCTATTCAAATTTGGGGAATGTGTACAAGGAAAGAGGGCAGTTGCAGGAAGCAATTGAGCATTACCGGCATGCATTGCGTCTCAAACCAGATTTCATCGATGGTTATATTAACCTGGCAGCTGCTTTGGTAGCAGCAGGCGACATGGAAGGGGCAGTACAAGCTTACGTCTCTGCTCTTCAGTACAATCCTGTGAGTATAATTTTAATGGTTATTACTTTTCTTTCACAAAAGCCTAGAAAGAAACACAGTTTGATACTTTAGACACTAAAATAGTTTTTTTTTTTTTTTTTTGCGTGGAATAAAGTCAAGAGTTTGGAAATGTTTAGTTTACTTAAAATGATGAAATTGCTTTGACCCAGACCTGCGTTGTCGTCTTTAAAAAATTCATTTTATTTAGCAAGCTATTAGCATAAAAATTACCTTATTGCAAGAGAGTCTTGCATCTATTTTTAGAATGCCTGTAAAAGTACAGAACACGTGATATTGTTTCTTTGGGCTCTTTTGATTAAATTTGGATAATTTCTGCTATAATGTATTCACAACAGGTAATTGATTTTCAAGGAATAGTGGTAGCAGGGCCTTAATCTGTAATGTAGAATAGTTAAAATGAGATGTCAGTATATGGATCCATAACATGAAAACTAGGCTGCAAATTTTTTCCCTCAATATCCTATTCTCTCTTCTTTCAACATAATTAGAAGTGGTAAAATAGAGGCAATAGTATGCACACAAGGCTTTTGATTAGTCCTTAAAATTTTTTTATCTAAGTTGCAGATGTTTTCTGAGAAGCAAGTGAGGCCCAGTTGGCAGACACGTTCAGTGGGTTAGGGTCTCTGAAAGGTACACAGAAACAGTAAGACTTGCCCTTAGAACTTTTGATGTAGTTAGGGAAATCAGATAGACATAAATTTAAGAGGAAAGTGATAGATTATAGGAATCCAGAAAAAAATTTAAGAATATGTTTCTAAGCTACTTTTAGCTTTGCAGCAACCCAGGAAGTGGTTAATAGTTAACTATTATGGCTACCATTTATTTAAAGTCTACTGTGTGCTCAGACACTGTGCCAGTCAGACATTGATCTTTCTTAATGCTCACAGTGATCTTTCAAAGTAGATGGTATGCTGGGGTCCAGCCCCAGCAGGATCCAGGGGAACCCTCTGGCGAGAGAGAGACGTAGGACCGGCCTTGATAGGGCCAAGTCTGCTAGGGGGAGAGAGAGAGAGAGAAAGAAAGAGACCAGACCAGGAAGGTGCGGCAGAGTCTGGCAGTTGCTTTATTTTTTTACCATAGCCTTTATACCCTAAGTTGGTACATTTCTAAGGGGCAGATAAGCATACAGACTTAGTTTAACATTGTATCAGCTTGTCCTTCAGGAAGCCAGGTGTGCTCTGTATATTTTTGTTTATGAGCGTCTTTTCCCATAGATTTTTTGTACATTATCTTCTGGCCTTGAGGTTAGCAGAAAACAGAAAATTGGCAGTCTCATGGTACAGCAAGTCGCAACATAATAGAAATACAATCCTGTTAACATAAAGTCAGTCTTTTTGCAGAAATTCACAGCTAAATTTATCTAAAAAGTTTAACACACAAAGACTCTGGCTCTGGTGAGGCAGCCCCTGTTTAGCACTCCTGGTTAAAATTAACAATTATCATATTGTTATTACACTAGGGCTAAACTCTTATTTTACTATATCTTTAATTATATTAACAATAGTTTCCACTGCACAACCTCAGCACATTAACATCAATCAAACGTTGATCTAATAACAACTTTTAAAACAATATTTTTTGTATTCTCTAATAGGGCTTCCTCACCCCCCAAAGGGCTCTGTGCCTATTAGGGCCTTTTTTATGGTTAATCTCTATGTATAATATCTTTTGGCTTTTAGGCCTGTTGACAATTTATGGCTTGCACCTGGTGCAACTTTAAGCAGCTTCAGTAGCCGACCCTGTCTTATTTGTGGTTAATCTATTTTCTTTCTATTAGGTGTCATCTCCAAGGGAACTAGATAGGATTACATTTTTTACAGAACAGAAATGCAAAGGATTTCAAAAACAACAGATATGGCACAAAACAGGCTCTTAGTCTAAAAGTTAACTACCTGCAAGAAGTCGCCAGTTAATCTCTATCTAAACTATTTTCTATTAGGCACATTTGTGGCTATAATATTTGTGGAGCTTTTCTCACCCCGCGAAGGGGCCTATGCTTAGTAGTTTCTTTTGTTAGTGTACTATGTTTAGGATGTTTAGAACAATCAAGAGCATTTTGTGCAATGAGAGCACACATTTATCAAACAAGCCAGAATGCCAGCTAAAAGGTTTGAACTGAAGCATTTCCTTCATCTCTGGCCCCTTCATAGGGTACCAGCGTCCAGGAGATTTATTAATTAGGGTTTTAAGTTGGTTCTCATTCAGTGAAAGAGGAGCAGGAGAGCTCTCGGCAGGCAACACAAGAATCCGCAGCAGGGCAAAGAAGAACAACAGCAGAAAGGGGGGGGGAGGATATAGGGTGGGGTAGAGGCCGAGGCCAACCTGGAGGGTCCCTTATCCTAGACGGCCTTGCCTGTCAGGTATTTTCCTTGTGACCTCGTCATGGGTGGGGTCTCGGAAGGCCTTGCCTGCCCGGTATTTTCTTCATGACCTCGTCATGGGCGGGACCTCCCATAACGGCTCCCGACAATGGTATTCCAGTTTTATCACTTAAAAGTAATGGAGGGGTTATGTAACTTGGGAGCAAACAGAATGATGAAGTGGATATTGAAACCTGAGTGAATATCTCAAAAGCAAACACTGAAGAGAGAAGAAATACAAGATAAAAAGGGGAAGAAATGCTCAAAGGGCATTCATCCCTTAAGATAGCCCTTGAGCACAGTGTGAAAACCATTCTGCTATCCCGTAATCCTTATTTTACAGGTAAGAGACTGAAGCTTAATTTAGTAGTTTATGCAAAGATCTGAAATTTTATCAGGACACTATTTATCAGGACATCTATTTTAACAGTTGTTTTTTTGAGGTAATTTTGAGTGTAAAATTTTAAATTTTATTTATTGTTTTTTGTATGGATGCAATGTATCCTTCTTGGAGGTAGCCGATACTAATTTCTTAGGTATCCTTTCGGAGATACTCAATGGATATATATGTAAATTTAAAGGACTTCTTGTAATTTTTATTGCAGTACTATCTAGCTAGTTACAGAAAGTTTTAGGTACCCCGTATGTGCTACTGCTGAGGCTTGGACCTTGTTCTTGCCAAAGTTCAGAGTTCACTTGTGCATCTAATTGTGATAGTAAGTTCTTTCCCTTTATTAATTAGGTTGGTCCCATCCTTCACTTGTTGATTGCATACACATTCATTTGTGTCCTCTTACAAATGACATTTGGGCCGTGGGCCCAAAGGTCTTGAACTCTGATCCCCTTTGCTCAGGTTGCTACATGTGTGGCAGAGCAGTCATTGCTGCTGACAGTATACCAAACTGCAGGAGTATGGTGAGAAAGGAAAACTAAAGTGGGAGATGGAACCATGCGTTTCAGTATCTAACCTGTTAACAGAAAGCTTATTGTGCCCTACCAAAGAAGTAAGATAATATGAAAATAAGTCATGGTTACTCAGCCATTAAAAAGAATTAATTTGAATCAGTTCTAATGAGATGGATGAAACTGGAGCCCATTATACAGAGTGAAGTAAGCCAGAAAGATATCTGATTCATTTCAATGTATGACAAAAACTACTGTAATGATATAAAGTAATTAGCCTCCAACTAATAAAAATAAATGGAAAAAAAAAAAAAGTCATGGGACTACCCTTAAAGGTATTGAACAGCTGTGCATTCCTTGGTTTTGTTTCTACTAGTGAAAGGTGCTGCTTTATTTCTCTCTCTTTACCAGTAAGAATGAGAAAGAGATTGTGCCTACCGCCTTGATTTCACCTAAGTATATAGTAGTTATCATGCTTTAATTCATTTCAGTATATCTTGTCTTAACGAGATTTAAGAGCTTCCCAGTGCACTCTGCGTGCTCAGTTGTGTCCGACTCTGGTACTGTGAACAGCCTGCAGGCCAGTCAGGCTCCTCTGCCCATGGAATTTTCCAGGCAAGAATATTGGAGTGGGTTACCATTTCCTCCTCGAAGGGATCTTCCTAACCTAGGGATCGACCCCGCATCTCCTGTGTCTCCTGCATTGGCAGGCAGATTCTTTACCACTGTGCCACCTGGGAAGCTCCTATCTAGATTGAAGCTTGCTGTCAGATGTCTTTGTCAGTTCATGACTGACAGAGAAACTTGAGTCTGTTCCTAAATTGTGCTTCTGTGGCAGTGCATTGCTGGCCTGAATCAGAGTTGTAGTTGGCATTCTATGAGAAATAAACTCAGGTTATTTTGGTTTTCCAGTAGTGAAAAAGTAAAATGTTAAGGTGGTAGTCTTGGCAATCTGTTTTCTCTTTTTCGTTTGTCTCTTTAGGTTAATGGTATGTCAATTTGGAAGTTATTCTCTGACTTGGTTATAAAAATTACTTTTAAGAACTAGAGCTGTTGATATTTTTACATTCTGAATTGGCTTCCATAATGTTGGGTGATTTAATAATTTTACTAAAATTTTAGTCCATTGTATTTGAATATGCTATTGCAGCTGGTAATCTTCACATGATGACTCACTAGAGTTGCCCATACTTGACAATCCCTTTTATGAATTATGTATAAAATATTCTTTGTAAAATGGCTGTAACGCTGAGTTGCTGTAAGGAGCCCTGTTTCTGATTCTATAGATTGTACTTCTGTTTTGATTGTGAATGCATAGCACTGAGATCTGCTGGCATCCTGACCATCAAGTGTTACTGTCTTTTGTTAGTTGTTACTGTTGCAAGCCTCACTCATATAGCTAAACTGTAGAAAAACTTAAACAGTCATCCCTTGGTATCCATGGGGGATTGGTTCCAGAATCTGGGTGCTCAAGCCCTTTATATATACCTTACCACTTATATAAAGTAGTGTAGTATAGTTGGCTCTTCATGTCCACGGCTTCCTCACCTGAAGATGTGGAGGGTTGATTGTATTTCTATCCCTCTCTGCTTTTTTTTTTGTTTGTTTGCTGTGTATATGTGACGTTTATTTGAGTACTAAGTCTATGTACAATACTTTGTTAGGAATTGGGGAGATGTGTTTGGGGGGGGGGTTGTGGATTATAACGTGAGCAGG